GGCTGGAGCCGAGGCTGCTGCTCCGGAACCTGCGCCCCGCCTTCTCCCGGAATGTCTCGCCTTTTTTTTTTTTTTAAAGATGGTCAGGATAGGTTTTCGCATTTAGGGTTTCCCCCTGTAATCCACAACGGAGGAGCCACTGATCCCTTTGGTTTGTCCTTTACCCTGCACACCCCTTCCGGTCCCCTTTGTTCACACCAGCCATTGTCAGCACATCACTGGAGAACGTGGTGCCCTTCTGGGCAGGAGGAGTTGCGGGGAAACTGAGTTCTGCCTTGGGACCCCTTTGCTTTTCCACGCAGTCTCTAGGTCCTAGAAGAGTCTAGGAGGAGGGAAAGACCTGAACTTTCATGTGAGGACTCTAACCACCTCGCCCCCTCCGCCTCAGGTATTATTAACTCTCCTCTTTGAGTGACGGGGAGGTGATGTTCCAATAAGATCATCTGTGGACCCAGGGCTTGGAATGGGCCCGCTTAGAACCTCAATTTTGCTCCCTGCGAATGGTTCTGTGGCTGACAAAGGCCCCCAAACTGGAGTCTTGGCAGAGTGATTAGGACCGAGATCCCGACCCAGCGGTTCTGAGGAGTGGGCCGGCCCCTCCCTAAGGCCAAATGGATTGGAAAGGCAAACAGAGTTGGAGAAACTAGGTAAGTGGTACCAAATTTACTCTGTACTGCTGAGTGAATTTTCTAATTCTCTTCCATTCTTCTATCCAGTTTTCCACCGTTGCTTATACAGACTCTTTCCCTCCTCTCACCACATCTCCACCTTGACAGCTCTAGCCGCCTTCTCTTCAGATTCACTAACATGAAGTAAGCCCTGAACCTTTTTGCTATTGTAGAGTCTACTCTCTGATTGGGGAAGCTGGAGGATCTCCCCAGCTAGAGTTTTTTTGATAACTAAAACCTTACAATAAGAGCTTCATTCTTTTATTATCAGCTATCTTTGAAGAGATAATAAACTAAGCTTCACAAACCATATACTACACTTTAGTATGAATGAGCTTACCAGCTCCTTTCCAGAAAGAAAATTTTGAGAGAAGGAATGGTAGAGGGATAGCAAGGTCATTGTGTACTAAGGGAGATATGAAGTAATGTCAAAAAAAGGAAATTAAGAAAGAGGGGACATAGATTTTCATCCCAGAGTTAAAAAGCTGGAAGTACTCAGATGTCCAACATGAAAGGAATAGTAAGTATATTATGGAACTGCCATGCGATGGTACATTATGCAGCCTATAAAGTTCATAAGGAACTTTATGAACTTTCTAAAGCACATGTTACAGTATTATGAGGGGGAAAAGGAAGATTAAAATTGTATATACAATTTGATCACAACTATATAAAGCAAACATGTAAAACAAAACCACGAACTTAGAAAAAAGTCTAGAAGGAAATGCACCAAAAATTTAACAATGGTCATCTTTGAGTGATAATATCATTATTGATTCATTTTGCTTTCTATCTTTCTGTATTTTCAAAAATGTTTATTTAGCATACACATGCCTATTACAGTTGTAATGGCAGTATTTAAGAAGTAAACAGATCCCAATGGGGGAAAAGGGGGCCATATGTAACACTTTCCACAATAGAGAATTATTTTTTTTTAAAAGAAGTAAACAAATCCTGAAGAGAGAAAAAAGTGGAAGAAACTAAAATGAACTTTTTACATCACAACCTTTTGAGGTATAGTAAGAAAATTACATCTCGGTTTTGGGAGTAGAATATTTAGGTTTAAATCTTAGCACCACTACTTACCAGCTGGGTGACCTGGTCAAGTTGCTTAAATATTTTGTCTCAGTTTCTATATCTGTAAAATGGGGGTATTGTAAGAATTGAATACAATGTGTATAAAATACTTAGACCACCCCTGGCTCATGTGGCTCAATTGGTTGGAATGTTGCCACACACCTCAAAAGGTAGTGGGTTTGATTCTCGGTCAGGGCACATATCCAGGTTATAGGTTTAATCCCTGGCGAGGTGGGTACAAGAGGCAACCAATTGATGTTTCTCTCTCTCTCTCTCTCTCTCTCTCTCTTCCTCTCTCTCAAAAAATCAGTAAAAGTAAATATATATGTATATATTTTAAAAGGATTTAGACCAGTGCCTAGAACACAAGAATTATTATCACTAGTTTTACTTTGAGTCAACTCTCTCTCTTGTTGCCTGCCTTTTGTGTATATATATCCTGAACCACTTCAGAAGCACAAGAACACTTGTATATTGATCAATAGTAATTGCCCTTTAGAATTGCAATGAACCCTAAATCTATTGCACATTCATGCCTAAAGCCCATATAGTATACATCTGTTTGTTGCGTATTTAAATTATACAAATTTAAAATAGTGCAACATAAAAAGATAAATAAAGTCCAAATATATATACTCCTTTTGAAATAATGGAAATCTCCTAAATGAAAAGAATCTAAAAAGTTCAAAGTGGGTGGGCCAAGTGAATTGTAAACTGCATTTATGCTATTACTACATGGCTGTTCCTCTTTAGCTGGTAATAAAAAAACCCACAATTAATAAGCAAATAGTTCTAATGCACTTATGCGCTACGAATCTTTTTAAACCACTCTACACATATTAACTCATTAGGGTTCCCACAACAACTTAATGAGGTAGGGACTATTGCTATCTCATGGGGCTGTTTGAAGAATCAATCAAATGAGATCTTGTGTATTATCATCATCTTCACTTAACAGGAATCTAAGGCAAAAAGAGATTAAGTAACTTGCTTAAGTTCTCTTCATTAGTAAGAGGAGGAGCAAGGATTGGACTAGGTAGTCTGCCTCAAGCTAAATGCACCAATCCATGCCTTAAAACTTCTACCTCTTATATAAGGAACAAATACAGAATTGTTATGGGAAAATTACTCTTGAGTTATGTGAATTTTACTTTATGCAAGACCTTCAAGAACCCAGCCATCCATAACTAAGATGTCCTAAGGAAACTGCATGGAAACTACATGCATTTCATAGGGTCAGTGATTGAACTCTCAAATTTCTGTCTTCATTGCTGCTATTGGCACCTAATTCTGTATGATTTATTTACTTAAAAAACGAGAAATGGTATAGGAAGCATCACTTTGGGGAGGGGGTAGAGTAGAAACCCCTAGTGCTTAAATTTAATTCTTTTACTTTCCTGGCCTGGGATAGTCATGAACACAAATGATCTCAAACTGGACATGTATTCAGAGGCATTTCCCTCTTCCTGAGGGAACTTGAACACTCAGATCCTGGAACAAAAACTTCACTCTCCGGGATATGAATTTAAAGTCAAATAGAAAGAATTGTTAGGAGTCCCCCTCACCCCCAAAAGAATGTTAACATCTCCCTTTTCCAGGTCCCTCAAATTCCTTCCTCTGGCTGAAGTACACCTTTGGTCAGTTCTTAACTAGATTACATTTGGCCAGTGTGCTTTTTTAAGTTTTTAAAAAACATTTCAGTAACTCTGGCATTTCCTTTATTGTTATTCTTTTTTTTTTTTATTGTTGACTCATGAAGTCTGTTGTTAGTTATTACAGAAAGAAATCTTTGACTTTGCCACACAAAGTTAAAGCAGCAGGTAACAGCCTGGTTTTACATATCAATTGCGATAGAAATGAAAAAAGACATTCAGAAACGAAAAATCAGGTATCAGCTTCTGTGCATTGCTAGAAATAGTTTGCTGGTTGCATTCTACCATCATAAAACATATTCAGTTGGCTGCTTTGTCCTCATGATGTAATAATGGGGAGAAGGAGGTCATGGGGTACCAGAGTCTCCTTCAGCATCTACAACTGTGTAGCCATTCATGACCAATGGATGGTAAGAAGGATGCTGTCAACATATTCAGACACTCTTTTTAACAGTCTCTTCTTTATCTCCCAATCTTGTTCTGGATTTAATTTATCTGAGACTGAAATTAAAGAATAAAAGAACTGTAACTCATTAAACCTTCATAATAATTCTTCAAGCAATATTTTATAAAGATGATTTGTTCTGAAGAGACTTATATATTAGATGTCCTTCAACTCTTGGATTAAACAGAACTTTGCTCCATAGGCTTTATTGCTCACTCTGACAAACTGAAGAACAATCCCATTTCATTTTAGAATATGAAAAAAAGTTATCTTCTTCATAGAATCTGTGTGTGCTTAAACAAGTCATTTTACCTCTCAGCACCTCAGTTTTCTCATCTGAAGATACTATTTAAACTAGAGTAATAAACACAAATGGTCAACACATATTTGAAATATATGAAAAAATTTTCAGTATCATTAGTAGTCAACAAAATAACAATTAAAAAAATATATATTTTATTGATTTTTTACAGAGAGGAAGGGAGAGGATAGAGAGTTAGAAACATCGATGAGAGAGAAACATCGATAAGCTGCCTCCTGCACACCCCTTACTGGGGATGTGCCTGCAACCAAGGTACATGCCCTTGACTGGAATCGAACCTGGGACCCTTCAGTCCACAGGCCGACACTCTATCCACTGAGCCAAACCGGTTAGGGCCAAAATAACAATTTAAACTAATATTTGTTCACCAGCTGAGTAAAGATAGTTTAACATAAAACCTTTTAAAATTCATAATTATAACATTTATAATTTTAACATGATAAGTTGTAAACTTAGAGAAGGTATGGAGAAGTGGATAGTGTCACACACTGCTGGTAGTCCTAGAAAATGCTACGACTTGTCTGAGGATAATTAGACAGTTTGTAACATTTTCCATCAGAAGTGTTTATATTCTTTAACTCAACCATTCTACCTCTAGAAATCCATACCAAAAAATATCAAAGGACTGTTCATGCCAGCTCAGTTGGAAACAACCTAACTGTCCAGTAAAGTGGATTGGCTAAAGATTGAGAGATTAGGATTTGTTACAGAAGGAATTAAAAAAAAATACTAACATTCCACTTTTGCATACTATCCAGGATTATGTACAGGAAAGACTATTATCGTGAGAAAGAATGTTCCATATTCCTTTGTTGGGGGGCAGCAAGAACACACCAGGTGTTAGACCAGTGAGGTCAGCAACCTCCATATGGTACTTGAGTTTGGCTAGGAAAGAATTCAGAGTCAAGGCTCAAACAATAAGAGAACATTTACTTGGAAAATCACAGAGGTAGAAGAAGTAATTCGAAGAAGAAATGGGCTTAGGAAACAAGTTATAGAGGCAAAGGAAAGGCTCCTGGAGCTTAGAAGTGAGGGAGGGGGTGGAGAGAGGGAAAGACATGGCCATGCTCCCAGGAGGGAGAGTGCACTGGGTCCTCTGTCCTAAGGGTTTTAAGGGTGGATATTTTAGGAGAGGCCCCACGGGAGATCTTAATAGAATATTCAGCAGCTTTCCAAGTGTGTCTCTTCAGGGTCTAGGTCTCCACTGATTGTAGCTGGTCCTGAGGACAGCCATGGTGTTGCTTATCTGGTTTTACTGCTTTTCTGGACCTGGAGCTGAAATACAACATAAGGCCTAGATATTAACTCAATAGGAAAGGTCAGGAGGTCTAAACCACATGACCAGAGATATGCTAGGGGAGGAAAGGACCCTGGGGAAAAGGACCCACAATTGTCCTTTGCTAGGCACCCAGGGATTTCTGCCCTGGTGACCTTCTGTACTTGACCCATTGTCTTTGCTCTGCTCATGTCTGTCTAACTGCCT